TGTGCTGAACAGTAGTGTAGGCAGACGGGAGTAGTAAACCTTGGTAACCTTGTTAGTAATGAATGAACGCCATGTATGTAGGTCAGAGAGGAGCCACCAAAGGATAAGCAGCTGTCCAGCTAGAGCAGGAAGTCAGGGCCTGGCTCTGACTGCTCCCTTTCCTCCTCCTGTCTTAAGCCTTGGTTCGTTGTTTCAACTCTGTGGGACTCTGTTTTCTCAGGTTGGCAGAGGTGAACTCTAAAATCTAATTCCCATTCTTTCTACCTGGCCAGTTGACAACTTAAAGAAACATTTCCCAATTTTACAGGGTAATTTGACAAGGGAATGTATTGAGACAGATTCCTTTTTTTGTTGTTGTTGTTTTTTGTTTTTTTAAGTCAGTCTTCATCAGCCTTGGCAGGCTTCAGCAGGCAAAGCTATAGTGGTGACTCAGTGTCCCCCTTACTCTCCAGGGTCCTTCCTTCTGAAGTTGAAGTATTAGAGTCTATCTATCTGGATGAACTACAGGTGATGAAAGGAAATGGCAGGTGCGTATTCAGTTATGGGCGGGCAGGAGTCTTAGTGATCAGACGATTCTGCACAGAATCTGGGCTTAGGGTGCTATGAGCCTTGACTCCGAGGTGATGCTCGGCATACAGACACTAGTCTCTTACTCCCCCCACACCCCGCAAAGAAGCAAGTCCAATGTGCATTCCTCTACCTGCTTTACTATCTCACCCCCCCTCCTCCCTAGCTTTCAAGCCCCTGCCCAGTCACATCCTGCGTCTCCACCTGCAGATCTTCACCATGGGAGATCTTTATCACTCTGCACCCTGCCACCGCAGAGGTCCAAGATTCTCAGTTTGTCTGCTTTACTCTGGTGCTTCAGGTCCCGGTGCAGGTGAGGCCGCTGTATGACTGTAAAGGGAGGAAGGGGAGAGTCCCCCGAGCAGTCACTATAATGACTGGGTGTTGTTTTTCTGCACTAGTACCCCCATGAGGTGCCACAGATCTCCATCCGTAACCCCCGAGGGCTTTCAGATGAGCAGATTCACAAGTAAGTTGGGATAGTTGGGGCAGGGAGAACTCAGAATTCAGCTCTACCTGTTGAAGGAAAGAAGTTTTAATATTGGCTTCATTTCTACCCTCCCAGGATCTCACAGGCACTGGGCCATGTGGCCGAGGAGGGGCTAGGCACAGCCATGCTCTATGAACTCATTGAGGTAAAATGTATGGTCCGGGAAAATGTCCTTCCTTTCAGAGCATTTTTGTAGTCAGTACATTTAGTCCTTGTTTGTTTAAGGCCTCAGTTAGAAAAAGAACTCAGTATTTAAAAACAGAACAACAACAACAAAAAAACCCTTCAAACTATAGTTGAGTAGCTTCCCTGCCTCTGCCTCCCTAGTGCTGGATTAACGGTGTGTGCCACAATGCCAAGCTAGAAACATTATTTTTATCTCCAAGTATATTAAAGGTGACTTAGTAAGAGGAGAAATAATTTACTTAGATTTTGAAACCAGGAAGGTCAAATGGGCAGGGGTGGGGGATGCATAGAGAGGGATTCTTGCAAGTAGAACATTACCAGGATAGGATTGCATAAACGATAGGTAATAAGCTGGCTTGGTGGATGTCACACCCAACCAGTCACTCCTGGGAGAAGTACATGGATTGTGTTCACAATCTTCTCTCCTTTCAGAAAGGGAAGGAAATTCTCACAGACAACAATATCCCCCATGGTCAGTGTGTCATCTGCCTCTATGGTTTCCAGGTGGGTTTCTCAGCTGGAGCTGGAGTGAGCTTGGGCAGACAGGGAAGGGCTAGTGAGTGGGCACTGATACAGAACTCCGCTTCTGTCTCCTTACAGGAAAAGGAGGCCTTTACCAAAACACCCTGTTATCACTACTTCCACTGCCACTGCCTTGCTCGATACATCCAGCACATGGAACAAGAGCTGAAGACACAAGGACAGGAACAGGAGCGACAGCATGTTGTCCCCAAACAGGTAGACATCGCCAGACCCGCTTTCTTGCTTGGTACCCTTATACCTCACATCCGTCTCCATCCCTCCAGTCTAGTGGCTTTTTGTCATTTAGAGATACCTTTGAGGCTGAATCTCACCCCTATGCAGAAAGGCATCCCTGAGTACACTGACACATTGCATGCAGCTTTGCAGTCTCTCCAGACCTTTCCTTAGGCTGCCCTGTCCTCCTCCCCCCTCATGCTGAGCAGCTAACGCTTGTGCCCTTCAGTCCCAGCCCTGCAGACTGGGCTGGCTGACAAGAAGCAGGATGTGACTTCTCCTCTTGTTTTAGAAGGCAGTCGGTGTGCAGTGTCCTGTGTGCAGGGAGCCCCTTGTGTATGATCTTGCCTCGCTGAAAGCAGCCCCTGAACCCCAACAACCCATGGTAAGGGATTTCCTTCTGGTCTAAGCCAGGCATAGTGGCATTCTAGAGAGAAATGGCATCTTGTCTGTGCTGAATTCTCTGGAGTTGGGTTTGACTTGCATAAGACTACTCTGCAAAGCCGCAACCCCCACCAGGAGCCTAAGACTTCAGAAGCCCAACTCTGAGGAAGAAAACCAAGATAGGAATGTGGCTCATTTGGTAGTACACTTGCCTAGCATACACAAAGTCCTAGTTTCGATCCCCAGAACTACATTAAAAAACCTGGTACAGTGGTACATTCATGTAATCCTGGCATCCAGGAAGTGGAGGCAGGAGGATAAGCAGTTCAAGGTCATGCTTGGTCATATGGTGAGTTTGAGGCCAATCTGGGCTATATAAAATTCTTGTCTAAAACCAAACAAAAAAACCAGGAACCTTGTGCAACTCTCCTAGGACAATCAAGTCGTCTGCTTTCTCATTTTGTTTTTTTCTCCTGTCATTCTGCTTCCTTTCCTTTAAGGAGCTTTACCAACCCAGTGCAGAGAGCTTGCGCCAACAGGAAGAGCTCAAGAGGCTGTATCAGAGGCAACAGGAGAAGGGTGGCATCATCGACCTTGAAGCTGAACGGAACCGGTACTTTATTAGCCTTCAGCAGGTGAGGAAAGGAAAGGGCTCCCCTCTTGGCCTCAATGCCTCCAGTGTTCTTATGAACACCATGGCCCTAGGGTGTGCTTCATTCTGCATGGGGAGGTTACAGATTGGTAATGGTTGGGTAGAGAGGGGTCTTCCTTGATGCATTGCCTCTCTTCTTCCCAGCCTCCTGCTGCTGTGGAACCCGAGTCAGTTGTAGATGTCTCCAGAGAGCCCCAACCACCTAATGCCCTTTCTGCAGAACAATCTACTTCCCTAGCTGCCCAATCAGCCGTTCCAACTCCTCTACCCATGGCTACCCAGTGTGTGTATGAGAAGATTCCAGGGGCTGGCCCAAATCAACAAAGGCTGGGTGAGACCAAGAAATCCATGCTAGATCCTCCACGATCTGGTCGTGGATCCTGGCGACGGTATGATCGGAGGCACCCGAAAGGAGGGGAGTGCTGTACCGCAAAAGGTACCAGTGATATCCAAGAACTGCCACCTCCTGAGAAGCCTCTCAAAGAGCCTGTGGACTTAAAACCAGAACCCCGTAACAAAGGGCTTACAGGTCTCCCTCAGGAGAAGGGGCCTGGTAGCTGGCAGGGCTCCACAGCTCGCAGGACTCGGGACTGTGCTCGCTGGGAACGCTCCAAAAGCCGTACACCAGGTTCTTCCTATTCCCACCTACCTCGGGGCCAGGGAGCATACCGGTCTGGTACTCGCAGGGAGCCCCTGGGCTTGGAATCCGAAGAAGGTTCCTAGCAGTACTGTGGGGGGACAGGGAATTGGGGGTGGGAGGGAGGCAATAAAAAGATTTGGCCTTTGCTTAACAGCACCTAGCTTGTATGGAATGGCTTTTTTTTTTTAATTATTTTTCTTTTATGTGCACTGGCGTTTTGCCTGCATGTATGTCTGTTTGAGGGTGTCAGATCACCTAGAGCTGGAGTTACTGACAGTTGCAAGGTGGGTATGGTTCTTCATAAATTGCTACAAGATTTGGGTATGAGGGCTGGAGAGATAGCTCAGAGGTTAGGAGCTATCTCTACCTAGCTACCTGAGGTCCTGAGTTAAATTCCCAGTCACCACATGGTGGCTCACAACCATCTATGAGATCTGGTGCCCTTTCCTGGCATGCAGGCAAACATGCAGACAGAACATAATAAATAAAATAAAAAAATAAAAAGATTTGGGTATGGCAGGGGGTTCTCACCTTTGCTCCTAGTCTGTTCTCCAAAAATGCCAAGGTGAGAAGGGTCTTACTTCCCTGCCAGTGTGGTCGTTTTGAGATTACGGTTGACATTTGGGCAGTACCACAGCATATAACTCCCTGTCCATACCCACATTTACAGGAGTGCACTGTTGACCTGTTGGTTGTTTGGAGATAGGGTTCCATGTAGCCCAGACTAGCTTCAAGATTTATGCAGTTGAAGAATCCCTGCTTCACGTCATGAGTGCTAGGGTTACAGCCATTGCCATCATGGCCAGTCTACGAATGCTAAGCAAGCATTCTGCCACCTGAGCTACGTCCTAAGCCCCTTGGTTGTTTTGAAGGGAAAAAAGGTCTTACTGCGTAGTTCAGGTTAGTCGTGAGCTTTTTGCAATCTTAACTACTTTAGCTCTGGAATTAAAAGTATGTGCCAAATGGCACACCTTTAATACCATCATTTGGGAGGCAGAGGCAGGTAGATTTCTGACTTCAAGGCCAGCCTGGTCTACAGAGTGAGTTCCAGGACAGCTAAGGCTACACAGAACTCTGCCTCAAAAATAAAAAAACAAAAACAAAAAACAAAACGTGTGCCACATCGGGCAACAAAGCCTCTTACTTGGGTGGCCTTTTGTGAACGCATATATTTTCCCCATTCATGTCAGTCTCTTCTTTCCCTCTCTTGCGGCCATGGCCCCATCATTTGTATATGCGTATCTTGTGGCACTACTATTGCAACCCCTGTTTTATTCTCAAGTACAAGCGCAGCAAGGGAGGGAGGAAAAGTCACATTAGTCAGATTAGTGTGATTGGTGTTTATGGATTTTTTGAGAGCAGATAGTGGCCTGGTGAATCACCTCAGAGATTCAACATTCTCAATAGCCCCCACAGGGTCATTTTTATACAGCATGAAGTAGCCTTGCACCTGGGCAGGACTAATCTGGGATGTAGCTTTAAGGACATGTTCTGCAAAGTTCTCAGCCAATGAAGGCGCTTGCCCCGGGTAGAACCTCTGGAACATCTGGGTCAGCTGCCAGTGTGAGCAGTAGCCTACATACTCCTTCAGATCTACTCGCCCAGGGCGTATCAGGGCAGGATCCAGCCTAAGAGGAAAAAGCAGAGTCACAGCCAATACTCCTGCTAGCACCCAAAAGAGACAGTCTCCTCAACACCCCCCCCACCCCGCCACACACACTCACCCAAGGCAGAGCAGTGGAGTTTTGCCTTTCTTCTTACCTGTCAATGTGGTTGGTGGTCATGAACACAATGCGAGCCTCAGTGGAGGCAACGCCATCCAAAGCATTGAGCAGTCCACTGAAGGTGAGACGACCTAGGCCTTGGTACTTTACAGGGTCTGGAGGATGACAGGAACATGAATGGGCGTATCTTAGCTAAACTCCTGCTGCAGTCCCCTCTGCAGTTACCTCCTTATCAACACCTCTTGTTGCTGACTCAGGCCTCCAAAAACTCTTTTTTTTTTTTTTAAAGATTTATTTATTTATTATGTATACAACATTCTGTCTGTGTGTATGTCTGCAGGCCAGAAGAGGGCACCAGACCTCATTACAGGTGGTTGTGAGCCACCATGTGGTTGCCGGGAATTGAACTCAGGACCTTTGGAAGAGCAGGCAATGCTCGTAACCACTGAGCCATCTCTCCAGCCCCCTCCAAAAACTCTTGCTTCCCCTCTTCCTCATTTCCTTCTGACCCTCAGTATCTTAAGTACGAACTACTTTCCTGGGTCAGGGAGAAGGCTCTATGATCAAAAGTGCTAGCTGCGCAAGCCTGAAGATCCAAGTCTGGTCTCAGAATCCAGGTAAAATGCTGGATGCAGTGGCACAGATCTAAGTCTTACGGCATGTTGACATTGGAGACGGGAGTATGGCAGAACCCAGAGAGGCACTTCTTCAACAAGGTGAGAACTGACCCCACGTGCATGTGCCCACACACTAAATCAGCTAAACAAAAGAGTCCCCGTCCCCAGCATCTTCTACTTACTCTCCACGGCCAAGTCTCGACTGAGAAAAGCAGCATCCACATCCTCCAGGAGCACCAAGCTTTGCTGGGGGGCGACACTCAGCAGATGGTTGAGCCGGTCATCTGAGAGGCTAGAGTCTGTGAGGCTGAGAAGGCAGATGCTGTGCTCCAGTTCTCCAGCCAGAGCGGTTCTGTGGACAGACACACAGAAGGAGGGCCTAGGCAACCTGAAGGCTCTTTGGGACTCCCAGGAGGTCTGTGTATATCTCGTTTCCAGACCCAAGCCTCTCTCCCCACCCTATCAGGGCAGTTCTTCTGCAAAGACTGAGGTTCAGAGTCGAGAGAACTGGACTACTCACATAAAACTGCTCTTCCCACAACCAGGGGGCCCATAAAGAAGGTAGCCACGTCTGTAGGGAATGCCTAGGGACATAACCAAGACAAACAAAACCTAAAGCGAATCCTGTACTCTGGTCCAGGTGTTCATATTCCACCTCAGCTCTATTCCCTATTAGTCTGGAGGGCTTAGCATCAGAAGAAACAAGGTTTCTTCCTCTTTTTCCGGAGCTAGGATTTTCTGTCACCTCATCTGGCTACAGACTAGCCGAGATCCCAGGTGCTTCTTACCTCTGTCAATGTACCACTTGGGATTATCAATGAATTCCCGGATATCTTTGACAATTCGGTCAGCAAGACCCTGCTGCAGGACGACAGAATCGAGTGGCCTGCGGCGGCGTGGATAACCAAAGGTACGCCATTCAGAACCCACGGCTGTGTACATCACTGTCTTTCCCTCCTCCTGCTGCAGGGCTAGTGCTCGAGCTGCAAGCAAGGAAATGAGACCATAAGTCTCTTGATCACAGCTGATTCTGCAATTAAGGAGAGTTCTGTCCTGGTAACCTTCTCCCAAGTATTTGGATTCTTATTCCTCTTCTTCAAGCTGTTGATGCCCAACGGCCCCATTCCTGAAAGCCCCAGCAAAAGCCTGCACCTGCCAGTACCATCTCATACCTTCTTCCAGGATGTTGAAGAAAATCTTCCGGTCCGTGCCCAGGGCTGTGAAGGTGACGGATTCCCAAGGAGTCCCCGTTTGCAGATCTACCATCTGCATGTCTCGATTTCGTTGTACCCGGATCCATTTCCCCTGATACCTGAATAAAATTGTCAAAGTGACCCAGTTTCCTCCACCAATCTATCCTGTCTTCAGAGCCCTTCCTAGCTTCCAGTCTTACCAAATGAAGTGGTTTCCAGGGCTGGGGATAAATTCGAACTTGGTGGAGATTCGGCCACTTTCGTGCTGAAGGTATGAGGTTTCAACACTGAGGTGCTGAGTGCGGGTGCTGTGTCGGGTAAGCCAGCTAAGCAACCAGGCATAGCTTCTGTCTCTAGCAGGGACTTCCAGTGTGATCATGTAATGGCGCCGGAATGCCACTAGACCCAGCTGGGCTCCTTTCCGGGCCACAGCCAGAACTGTGCCCACACCTACCAGCCCAAATCCAGCCCCAAAGTAGGGATTATCTTTTAGGGCCAGAATAAAGTCTGTTAATGGCATCTTGAAAGGGAAAAAAACCAAAAACGACAGATGCTTACAGGCCCCGAGACACTGTCAAAACCTAGGGGTGGAGAGAAGCAGAGCTGGGAGAAAGCATAAGACTAGTTTAGAAGCCAGACCCATCAGATTTGCCCCACTTCCTCCCACAGAAGCAAGACGACAGGTCAGCAGTGTTGTGTGCTTCAGTATCCTTTCGGGGAGTAGATATGGTGTTGGAATGCCAGGGCAAACACCCCAAGCTCTCCAATCCATTTTGCTCTTCAGATAGAAGACCTTTTGCCAGAAGAACAGGTTTGGAGATTTTCTCAACTCCAAAAAGCAATGTAACCAGTTTCACATCAGGATACGAGAAAGGCAAGACTTTGGTCCCTGGCAAAAGCTGAGACAGAAAGAGTCCCCATTGGGTGGAGTCAACAAAGGTGATTTTTTCCATTGAGCTATCAGTGACCACATGCTTTACTATCAGAAATGCCCTTCGAATATCCTCTTACACCCAGTTCCTAATGAACTGTTTGAACTTTTGTTACTCCCCACCTAAGCTATTACATGCAAGTTAAATTTTAGTTCTCGAAGTGGCATTTGAATGGACCTTCAGTGCTTGCATCAGTAAGCCACCGTTCCGGGACCCTCTCCAATTCTGTCACATTTTTACTCCAGCACCCTCGGTGACTTTCTTCCATTGGATTCAAACACAACCGGATACGCAGGAACCTCCACATTAGGACAGCTATCTTTACCAGCAGTTCAACAAATATGCAAATCACTACCTACCTCTGGCCCATTCAGTTCTGTTGGTTCCGAATGCCCCCTTCTTTATTCCCGGCATTCTTATTGAGATTTCATAGGCTACTTCCTCCACGGAGCCTTTTCCAATTTCAACCCAGTAAGATGTGACTAGGCCTAACTGTAGAGCATTCCCAAAGGAAAAGGACTAATTACTTCCAGCACACCTCTCCTGCGACACTCCACCACCGCCACTTTGTCCTATGCCTGGCTCTCGGGCCACCGGTGAACTGATAGCGGTGACCTCCACTAAGGCTCGGAGCTGGGATCTAGGGTTCCAAAACACCTTTGCATAGAGAGCCACTGACGAAAGTCTTCTGGCTGCTGGTTCCCGAGCCCGACACGCAGCAGCTGTCTCCCAGACACGCCACACAACACAGCTCGGGCTTCCAGGAACGTGGTCGGGGGAAACCTGTCACTCCGCCCCCTTACTGCAATGACTCTCTGGCCCTCAGACTCGATGGTAAAACCAGGCCGCAATCGGAGGTAGCGCCGCTAGGCCCTGCCCCCGAGTTCTACAACTACTTCCCGCCACACCCACCACGAAGTCTGTGCCACTCTACCTTGTGACTCTCGGTGGTTCCGCTTTGGGCCTCCGAGCTAGGGTACTCAAGGACATAAGGGGGAAACCATAGAGTAGCATCGGGCCCCGAAGAGAGACAGAGTGACCGCCTCACGTCAGATTCCCAGAGGCGCGTGGGGCGAGGGCGGCCACACCAAAGGCCCCTTAGGAGCCGCTCCAGTAGCAGTGAGACCATAGAGATGCGGCTCCCGCCGGTCCTGGGGTAGAAGGTGAGAGAGCGGCTGTCGGCGGGAACCAGGGGAAGTGCGGGTGCTGCAAGCTGGAAGTAAAAGTTTCTCCAGCCCTAGCGTGAGTAGGGTCTGGGAAGTGGAACCCCGTGGAAGGAGGTGCTGAGGGGGAGCACGCCAACGAGAGGGACCCAGGCGCATCTTCGCGTCACCGCCCTGGGCTCCGCCCGGGTATCCGCTACCTCTCCTCAGGACCATAATCGTGACGATGCATCATTCCAAGCCTTGCAGGTTCCTAAACGCCTTTCTCCTTCGCTGGATCTCATGACTTGTCTGTCGCCGCCTCCACTTTACAGCTAGGAAAGCTGATTCCCAGAGAATCGACGCGAGTGCTTCTGTTCGAGGCCGCACGGTGAGTCAAAGCCCAGAGGCGCGTGGGAACCGAGGTGCCTTGTCCGGGGCGCCTTGTTCCCAGGCTTTCGTGTCTCTTGGTTCTCCAGTCACAAAGAAAACACGTTCCTTCTTTCTGGCACACTCCTACCTCAAGCGGTGCATCTTCTTGAGGCTGCGTGATGGAGCTGGAAAATTGGGCAGAGCAGCAATTATAAGCCGTCGGTGGAAGCTATAGGTTCCAAAGAGCCTCGCTAACCGTGGAAGTGCTCTTCCGTGTCACCTTCAAAACTTCTGTGTGCTCTTACTGGTTTGAGTGGAGGGATTCTGCAGAATAAGGAATAGTGGCCCTCACCTGGGTCTCATTCCACCTTGGTGACCCGATTTCATCAAGTAATTATTGTCATTCCGTGTTGGTTAGTTGGTTGGGTTTTTGAGGCAGGGGTTTTTCTGTGTAAAAGCTTTGACTGGCCTGGAATTCACTTTGTAATCCAGGCTGGCCTCGAACTCACAGAGATCCACCTGCCTCTGCCTACTGAGTGCTAAGAATTTAAAAAAGTATCTCACTTATTTCAGCCATGTCTAACAGGGCCTTTAGTTTAATTTGCTTCTTGGTTGTGTTAGGTTCTGGAGGCCTTGGTGAGTTCAAAAGTTACCTTGTATGTGAGGGAACACTGGTTTGACACCTTGGTTTAAAATATCTGGGTTTACTTCAATTCAGCTGGTCACTAGAATTTTTGTATGTCTGCCCTGTGTAGCTTGTTGATGCCTTGTGCTCGCTAAAGTGAGAAAGCGCCGCATCCTGTGTTGGGATATATAGTAACTCATTTGTAGAGTGCTCGCCTCGCATGCACAAAGCCCTGGGTTTGATCCCCAGCACCGCATTTTAAAAAAGAAAGGGGGGGGTGAGGTTGGAGAAATTGTCCAGTGGTTAGGAGTGAATGCTGCTCTTTCTGAGGATCTGGGTTCAGTTTCTAGCATCCATTTCCAGCGTCTGACAGTCACTCCAGCTTCAGGGGAATCCAGTACCCTCTTCTGGACTCTGCGGGCACCTGCACTCATATCAACACACATAACTAAAAATAAAATCTTAAAAACAAGTGTTGTGTACACCTGACTTCCCAGCACTCATTAGCTGCGATACTAGGTGTTCAAAGTCATCCTCAGCTGCGTACCATAGTTGAAGCTAGTTGAGCTGTACAACTAGGAAGAGAGACGGATAGGGAAAAAATAGTGCAGGATGGTTTCTGCTGGAGTTACATACAAAGGCTGTCAGGACCCCAAAGAGAGGAAATCCAGAATATTAGGAAGCAGTCACAGCAGAAATATTTTCTTAAGGAGTAGGTGTGTGTGATTGGCTAGACAAAGAGATTGAAATGCACTGAATGGAAGAGGCAAGAAAGTGGGGAGCAAACAAAACAGAATTTAACGAGTCAGAATATAGCAAGTCATCTGGTTAGGGGGGCGGGGAGGGGGTTGTCTGAGAGGCAGGGCAACAAGGACTGCAAGTGAAGCAGTGGCTTTATATCTGCACTGAGAATAATGAGATTCTCCGGCCCTGCTTAGTTTTGTTGTAGTCATCACCTAGCTAGCAAGAAACATAACCTGCAGTCTTTAATGTTGACCTCAACTTGTTGGTTCTCTACTAATACTGACTTCATTCTCATTTTATGCTCTGTGTTCAGTGTTGCTTTGAGAATATTTAGGATAATAAAGTATAGCATGTTGCCACGAATGGAAATGCCTAAATGTGTGGGCCAACTTTGGAGAAGTTGAGAGTTCTAACCATATATGTATGATTTTTTTTTTTTCCTGGCTGTTTGTCAGCAATTTAGGAGACCACAACACAGAAGTCAATGATAATGACAGACCCTGTGTTGGCATCCCAGCTGGCTAACGGCACTGGGGAGATGGATGGACTATGCTCTGAGCTATTGTTGATTCCCCCACCTCTCTCAAACCATGGAATCCTGGGCCCTGTCCAGAATACCTGTGCTTCTGGGGAGACTGCATCTTTGCCTGCTGACCCAGGCTGCCTCCTGGTAGAGGCCACAGCTACTGAAGAGAGTTCAGGGAACATGGAGATCATTGTGGAAGCAGTAACTGAAACCCTGACCCCAGGAGCTTCTGGAGACACCTCAGGTACAAACATAGTTGCTACCAGGCCAGTGGAACACAGCCTGAGATTTTGTCTGTGCTATTTTTGGTCCTTCTCTTTGAATGTGATGAGAACACAAGGTAGCATGCTATTTTTATACCCGGAGATGTTATAATTTGGTTTGCAGCTGATACATGTTGATGGAAGGCTGGCAGGGTAGCATACAGCCTTATAACAAACTTGGCAAAGTTTTCCCTCTGAGAGCTTCGTGTCTGCTAGGCAGTAATTCAGAACAGAAGACTTTCCTGACACCTGTGTCTATTCTGGCTTGATCTTGCTCTGATAGTCCTTGGGGATTCTTTATTCCATACTGACCCTAAACCAGCCAGTCATTAGGTCAGAGGCCCAACCTGATCGACCATCTTGAGTTTTGCAGGGCTTTCCAGAAGTCTCACGTGTTTCCTTGTCCTAGTTTCATGTGTATAACATACTGTACCTACCCAGGGCATGTTGTTTGTCTGAGTAGGAAGTTTCCCTTCATTCTTTCTACATCTAAAAAATCCATTTTAGGAAACGTCCTATGCTTTAACTGCTACTTTTCAGTAACAGCTGTCTTCTGACAGTATAGGATAATAGCAAAGGATGCTGGGAAAAATTAGGTCATTTGACCATGTAAGAATTATAAACTGAGCCGGGCACTGGTGGTGCATGCCTTTAGTACCAGCACTCAGGAGGCAGAAGCAGGAAGATCTCTGAGTTTGAAGCCAGCCTGGTCTACAGGACAAGTTCCAACAACCAGAGCAACACAAAGAAACCCTGTCTTTAAAAAACAAACAAACAAAAAAATCTTTAACTTCTCTCTGGTGGAACAAAACGAGAGCATGAACAGACTGTGTGTGGCGCACACTTGTAATCCCAATACTTGGGAGACAGAGGTTGACTGATAGCTGGAAATTCAAAACCAGCCAGTGCTACATGGTGAGACCCTGTGTCAGGTTAAGGGGTCTGGCAAGGTGGCTCAGTGGATAAAGGTATTTGCCACTAAACTTGATAACCTGAATTCAATCACCAGGATCCACATGGTAAAAGGAAAGAACCAACTCCTACAAGTTGTTGTCTGACCTCCAAAAATACGCATGCACATATAGACACATCTCATATAACTGAATGTTTTTAAGAAATAAAAAATAAAGACAATATTTTTAAATTTTAGAGTTCATTGTTTTTTGTTTTTTGTTTTGTTTTGTTTTTTCCTGTACACACCTCTATTTCCAGAACTGAGGAGGATTGCTAAATATTCGAAGCCAGAGTCTACATAGTGAATTCCAGGCCAGCCAGGGCTGCACAGCAGGATGCTGTCTTGAGGGGAGAGAGGGAATAAATGAATGGATATGAATTACTCTGCATGCAGTTCTTAAAGAAGAAATAAAGATAAACAATAGCCCTATGGGAAAATGCCTAATTTCACAAGATGCTATTTTTGCTTCTCAATTTTGGCCAAAACTAAGTATTTTTTTAAAAAGTTTGTAGAGTAGGCCAGTCAGTAGGCCAGTCATTGGTGGCACACATCTTTCATTCCAGCACTCAAGAAGCAGAGGCAGGCGGATCTCTACAAGTTCAAGGCCAGCCTAGTCTACAGAGTAAGCTCCAGGACAGCCAAAACTACTTCTTTCTCTGAAGAAACCCTGTCTACACCAAAAAAAAAAAAAAAGAAAGAAAGAAAGAAAGAAAGAAAAAAAAACACTCCTAGAGTTGGAGAAGAGGCTGTGTAAGGATATATAATATCTTGCAACTTTGGGTTTTTGCTTGTTTGTTTGTTTTTGATATGAACTCACTATGTAGCTCTGGTTGGCCTGGAACAGAGATCTGCCTGCCTCTGCCCCCGAGTTTTGGAATTAAAGGTATATGCCGCCATGCGTAGCTACTACAATCTTGCAACTTTATTGATTGATTTTATTGAGCTATACATTTTTCTTCACTCCCCTCCCTTCAACCCTCTCCCGTGGTCCCCATGCTCCCAATTTACTCAGGAAATCTTGTCTTTTTCTACTTCTCATGTAGATTAGATCCATGTATGTCTCTCTTAGGATCCTCATTGTTGTCTAGGTTCTCTGGGATTGTGATTTGTAGGCTGGTTTTCTTTGCTTTATGTTTTAAAACCACTTATGAGTGAATTCATATGATAATTGTCTTTCTGGGTCTGGGTTACCAGACCATGTTTTCATGGAGCATGTTTTCTAGCTCCATCTATTTGCCTGGAAATTTCAAGATGTCATTATTTTTTTCTGCTGTGTAGTACTCCATTGTATAAATGTACCACATTTTCCTTAGAAGAATATAAAATAATTCTTTTTTTTTTGTGTGCTGGGGTATAGAACCCAGGTTCTACATGGTAGCTAATTATTGTACTATCACCCAGCTGCATCTGCAACCTAAGTTAAGCTTTTGAAAGTCAGTTTAGTTACATAGTGAATTTGACAATAGTGCACATTCTGACGTAATAACTCCACTCCAGGAACCTCTCTTATAGGAAGACCATATATGCATATAGGGATGAGATGTATAAGGCAGCATTATTGTTTTGTTTTTATTGTTGTTAGAAATATCTTGGTCCATCAGGGCAGAATTTCAGTTTGATTTATTAGTGCTCTGAAATACCATGAATTGGTTAAAAAGATAAGGTATATTTAATAGGTAGTCACACACAAATATAACTTTGATAGGTGAGTATGCTGGTATGTGTCTGTAATCCAAGTATTCCTTTAATCTTAGTACTCAGAAAACTGAGGCAGAATGATCTAGAAATTCAAGCCTCGACTAAGCTACATAAGTCAACCTGGGTTACATATTATGACCCTGTCTCATGGGTTTATGAGATGACTCCGCAGATAAAAATGCTTGCCACGGGGCTGGAGAGATGGCTCAGAGGTTTAGAGCACTGGCTGCTCTTCCAGAGGTCCTGAGTTCAATTCCCAGCAACCACATGGTGGCTCACAACCATCTGTATAATGCATTCCGGTACCCTCTTCTGGCCTGCAATGCAGGCATACATGCAGGCGGAACACTGTATACATAATAAATTAAAAAAAAAAATCTTTAAAAAAATGTGCTTGCCATGCAACCCTAGCAACCTGAATTTTATCCTTGGAACCATGTCAAAACGACTTATAGATGCAGTAGCTTGGATCTCTAACCCAGTATTCCTTTGTGAGATGGGAGGTGCAGACAGGAGAATCAACCCATAAACTTGAGATCAGGTGAAACCGTGTATGCAGTGCCCATTGTGTGATGTTGGTACACAGCAAAAGCCCATGCCAGCCATCACCTTCATCACCATTATCACATCATAAGGATGGAAGCCATCTTACTAGTATGCAGCAGTGTATGTGTGTGCCAGAGTCAGGGATCTTCCTCAGTTGCTCCCTCCATTTTTATTTGTTTCTTTTGCATCTTATCTTACCTGTGCTGGGTGTGGGTATGGGTGTCTGTGCGTGTGAGCAAATAATTTGTGGGCTTCAGTTCTCTCCTACCATGTGGGTTCTGGGAATTAAACTCAGGTCATCAGGTTTGGTGGCAGAGGTCAATACTGGCCAAGTCATTTCGGTTTCTTATTGACCCTGGAGCTTATGAGTTTGGTTTGCCTAGGCTAACCAGCCAGTAAGCTCCAGAAACAGAAACCTGCCTGTCTTTGCACTATCCATGCTGGGGATCTGAACTCAAGTCCTCGTGCTTCCAAGGCAGGCACTTTGCTGACTGAGCCATCTCCCTAACCCCAAATTTGCTTTTTCTTAATGCTTTCTGGATTTTAGTGTTTATTGATTCATTAACACACTAAGCACACATCTTTCGCCAAATATTTTACTAGATACTAGAAATCCAGACACATTCCAGACAGGCTTTCCCTGACGTTATAGTCCAGGTACAAAGCCAAACTTGAAATCTATCTGTACTCCATGACTATAAAAAGATTTACCTACATTTCTACTAGTGACTAACTCTTTCAAGTCTTGTTCCATCTGATTCTGTGCCTCTCTCTGTCGGTCCTCTGCCTGCAGGTGTCCTGGTAAAGGTGGTGGAGGTATACTTCTGTGAGCGCTGTGAACAGAGCTTTGCAGAGCCTACTCTGCTGTCCCTGCACCAGTGCACTGAGACCCATATTCAGGCTGTGCAGGACCTCTCTAGCCCCCCGTGTTCTGTAGAGCTGCCCCCCAGCAACCTCACCCTCCATGGCCCTCTGCAGGACCCCAGCCTGCCAGATAGCCCCCTGCCATGTCCTGTATGTAGACAAGAGTTTGTCCAGCCCCAGGCCTTGAAGAGCCACTTCAAGATTCACCGGGTCACTCCCAGCACATTCTCCTGCCCAGAGTCTGGCTGTGTGTTCTCTGCTGAAGATCGCAAGGGTCTGCAGCATCACCTGAGACAGACCCACAAGGCAGTTCCTGTACCCTGTTCATTCCGGGGCTGCTCCTTGCTTTTTGGGAGCCAGCAGGGAATGGAGCTGCATCGGCAAGCCCATTACCCTTTCCACTGCAGCCATTGCAGCTTCATGGGCTCCAACGTCAAACTCTTCCGGCAGCATCAGCGGAGCCATGGAGCCAGTACACGGGGAGAACTTTCTGCTGCTCAGGGCCTTCCATCCCAGGAGCTGCTGCCAGGTAGGGGACCAGGGACCCACTAGTCTCGTGCCTAGAATGTATCCACATTTGGTCTCTTATAAGACACCCCATTTGTTTCCAGTATGACTGTTCCATGAGTATGGCTTAAGAAGATGGAATTACAGCTGGGCTGTGGGGCACAGGCCTTTAGTCCCAGCACTTAGGGGCAGAGACAGGCAGATCACTGTGAATTAAGAGGCCAGTCTGGTCTACAGAGCAAGTTCCAAGATGGCCAGGGCCACACAGAGAAACCCTGTCTTGTAAAACAAAAAATAAAAATAAAAAATAAATTAAAAGAAGATGGAAATACTGGTGATAAGGGAAAGGCTCTAGAAAACTTGAATCAATTAGAATACATGAAACAAAAGGAAGCCTTTGTAACACTGAGTAAAATTTGATTTATGCAATATGTAATCTGAAATTATTTTAACAATATCCTCTATTGATCCATTTCATCTAAGAGTGAAAGTGCCTGTTAATGACTATTGCTACTAGCAGAACATTTATAGATTGCCTTTAGAATGAATGAGATTGGAGTTAGATCAAATGGTATATGCCTGTAATCGTAGCACTTGAGAGGGTTAGAAATTCAAGGTCATCTTTAGCTATATAGCAAGTTCCAGGCCAACCTAGACTATGTGAGATCATGTGTCAAAAAAAAAACATAAATAAATCATGAGAGTGGGCAGAAAGGAATAGGATTGTGTAAAAAAGAAATCTCGCTGGGTAGTGGTAGCTCACGCCTTTAATCCCAGTACTTAGGAGACAGAGGCAAGCAAATCTTTGTGAGTTCAAAGCCAGCCTGGTCTACATAGTGAGTTCTAGGACAGTCAGAGCTACACAGAGAAATTCTGTTTTGAAAAAAACAAAAGAAAGAAATCTCAGCAAAGGTGATACTTCATCGGTTTCTCCTTTTAGTCTCAAAAATAACAAAACCAGCATGAAGTGAGTGGAGGAGCAGGGAATAGAGAACATAGTCCAGGAGAGGACAGACTTGAGAACTTGACTTACTGAGCCTCTTTCTTGTTCTTACGTCTAAAGAGAAGACTTTTCAGGGGCAAAGTATGAGCCTGAAGTACAAATTTGGCCCCTCAGTAAACTGAACAGTCAGGGTATTGTCTCTGCCTTGAACACCCAGCCTTTGGCTTTGGAGACCTGGACAAAGGAAGTACATTCTACTCTTGTCTACCTCTTAGCCCCTGCCCCCTTTCCAGTGACTTCAAACTTCTGAGCTTCAGTGGATTTGAGTTTGTTATTTTCGTAGGTTTTTAAGATAGGTTTTTACTCTTGGTCTTCAGATCTCTGCCTTGAATAAGAATACATATATTTACTTAGCATCCAAGATTCTGCTAAGAGGAGAGAAGGATAATTCTGCTTGCCAGTAAGTATAGTACCAGCATTCAGTACTGTCATTGGCCCTTGTGGACTTCAAGTTTTATGTGTCCCCAGTTCCCAAGCTGCCTCCAGGAGAGGGAGAGCCTTCTGAGGAAGCGGGTACACCTTTGCCTGGACAGGAGTCAGCCGAGGAGGACATAGAGGAAGAGGAGAGTGGCACCCAAAAGGACTCCCAGAAAGTCTCAGATAAAAGCCAAGGAACTCAGCAGTTGGAAGGTAATAACATCACTGAGGCTGAAGCTCTTCATGGTAGACAGGAGTGGATAGTGGAGAGCCTGACATTTAGGCCTTAGGATTAGGTTTTCCAAGCTTTAGTTCGGATCCATGTATTCTTTCTGTTACACTTAGACTCAAAAATCAAGATCTAGGGCTAGGGAAATAACAATAGAGTGTTCCCTCAGCATTTGTGAGTCCTTGAGTTTAATCTCAAGGACTTAAAACCAACAGCAAAGTCAAATATGCAGCGATAAATAGATCAAGTAATCTATTGTACACAGAGCAGTGGTACAATACAATTTATTCTTGTAGGCAAGGTTTCTTCAGCCAGTGTCTTAGCTAGGGCTTCTGATGTCGATGAAACACCATGACTATAATAAAGCAAGTTGGGGAGGAAAGGATTTATTGGGCTTACACTTCCGTATTACTATTCATCGTTGGACGAAGTCAGGACAGGAACTCAAATGGCACCTGGAGGCAGAAGCTTATGCAGAGGCCTTTGAGGGGTGTTCCTTGCTGGTTTGTTCCCCATGACTTGCTCAGCCTGCTTTCTTATAGAACCCAACCTGGGATTGGCTCCACCCATAATGGGCTGGGCCATCCATCAATCACTAATTAAGAAAACGCCTTACAGGTTTACCCACAGCCTAATCTTAAGAGGGAGTTTCCAATTGAGATTCTTTTCTCTCTGATGACTTTAGTTTGTGTCAAGTTGACATAAAACTATCCAGTACAGTCATAGGCCTCTTTAGCAGGAAAAAGGGATTCTGTTCATAGTATAGATATCACAGGTTATTGATGACCAATCCGTTTTGTCTAGCTCCCTAAGACTTTTTTTCTGAATCTTTTGTTTCCAGTTTCAAACTCAATAGAAACACTTGAAATTCATCGTGTTTACTTATGTCTGGTGAATAATTTTTTTAAAGAAAAATCTGATTGTATTTCTTACCAGCTCTCAATTATTTTGAGCTTAGTGAGCCAGTACTTGGAAGGTTGGGGTACTTTACCTTTCTTTTGCTCACTCATTTTGAGGCTCTTTCTTTCACAACAGCCCTGCTGATCTTTCTGCTTGTCTGTATAGAGCAGGGACGGCAAGGGCATGTGGCTTCCAGTACTGAGTCCCTCTTCAAGACACACATGTGCCCAGAATGCAAACGCTGCTTTAAGAAGCGGACCCATTTGGTAGAGCACCTGCATCTCCACTTTCCAGACCCAAGCCTCCAGTGTCCTAACTGCCAGAAGTTCTTTACCAGCAAAAGCAAACTCAAGACCCATCTGCTGCGGGAGCTGGGTGAGAAGGCCCACCGATGTCCTCTGTGCCACTACAGTGCCGTCGAGAGGAATGCACTTAACCGCCACATGGCCAGCATGCATGAGGATATTTCCAACTTCTACTCAGACACCTATGCCTGTCCTGTCTGCCGTGAGGAATTCCGCCTCAGCCAAGCACTCAAAGAGCACCTCAAGAGCCACACAGCAGCAGCTGCGGCAGAGCCGTTACCCCTCCACTGCTTTCAGGAGGGCTGCACTTATGTAGCTCCCGACCGAAAGGCCTTTGTAAAGCACCTAAAGGAGACCCATGGAGTACGAGCTGTGGAATGCCGCCACCACTCATGTCCCATGCTCTTTGCTACCGCTGAAGCCATGGAAGCCCACCACAAGAGCCATTATGCTTTCCACTGTCCCCACTGTGACTTTGCCTGCTCCAATAAGCACTTGTTCCGCAAACATAAAAAACAAGGCCACCCAGGCAGTGAAGAGCTACGGTGCACCTTCTGCCCTTTTGCCACCTTCAACCCAGTAGCTTACCAGGACCACGTTGGCAAGATGCATGCTCATGAGAAGATCCACCAGTGCTCTGAGTGCAGCTTTGCCACTGCCCACAAGAGGGTGCTTATCCGACACATGCTGCTGCATACCGGTGAGATGGCTTCTATCCCTATGAGGATAGAAGTGGTGGTGAAGGTGATGGCTGGCATGAGCTTTTGCTGCAAGCATCACACAAAGGGCTTTGCATACATTGTTTCACTTGACCTCAAGTTTATGGGCACAACTCTAATATTCCAAGTTTGCAAGGATGTAAGGCAAAAGTTGAATATCATTCAACAAATAAAATAGTCAAGTTAGTGAATCCATGCACTCTGATTTTAGAACCTGTTTTCTAATACTAGAAAATTTTTTTAAAGACTATCATTCCTTACCCTTAAGTATTTGTCCAGTTCTCCCCACCCCTAGTCAAGTGCAGATGGGTGGATATCCAGCCTTTTATAGAGTGAAAACTTCCAGACCAGGACCAATAACTTCCTTTATAATTCAAATTTTGAGAGTGTTAGAGCAGGAGAAGAGAGGGTAATCAGCCTTCCCTATGCATGTGGCTTTCCTTAGAACTGAACATGGTCACATCTAGTGACCTGAAAATTGATTTGTTTTATCTTGGACTTCTAATTGGTTGCAAGCATTACTGAAGCCTTAGATGACAGCTAAGTCAGGCTTCCTACTACAGTATCATCTCTGATCTCTGCAAACGTCTATGCATTGATGAACCATAAAGCCAATTCCACAAATAGCTCTGGGTAGAAAAATAATTTTTAGATAGTTTGGTCAAAGCTATTGTTGTTCCTGTATAAATAACAGTTCATTTCTGCTCAGTTTTGTCACAGAGTGTAGTTTCTAAGGCCTTTTCCTAAAACCTGTATCTGTGTAGTGTTAACATAGTTTAAAATGTTCTTTTGTATGTATTGGCCTGTTTTGTCCTTAACAATCTTATAAGCAAGGCAGGTAAAGATAACAGACAAGAATTTAATTGAGAAGTCAAATTTAGATAGAGAGCTGTTGTGTACCCTTTGCCATACAGAGGTGGCTGGAGCGGGAGGGGGTCCTGAAGGAACATGGCCACCAGCCTCTTAGTGCCAGATATTAAACAAGTACTAGGACAGCTCATCCTTGAGTTCTTACTGTGCACCACTGGCAGCTTTGTTAGGTTTTGTTTAATACTTACACCAACCTTATGAGGTCTGTATTTTCCTGTTCCCTTTCTGGAAACAAGGAAACAGACTGCCCACCTTTTAGTAAAATGGTTTTGTGATTTCTCTGTGCTTTGATTTTCCCATCTCTAAAACAAAGATAATAATAGCACCTTATAGTGTTGTTATGAAGATTCACTGATAGGAGGCAGTTTATGCAAAGATCAGGCACATAGTGTGCATTATATAAATGTTGGCTGTTCTGGCCTTACTGTATTGGAATCTAGAGTTCCAATTCTATTTCTTCTCTTGCTCTAATCTCTACTTAGGAAATGAGAAGGGATTGAGTTACAGGTGCCAACTACCTTTTTCTAAAAATCAGAGGTAAGCTTGGCACGCACCGCACCTTTAATCCCAGCACTGGGAGACAGAGGTAGGTGTATCTCTTGAGTCAAGGCCAGTCTGGTCTACAGAGCAAATTCCAGGACATCCAGGGTTACTCAGAGAAACCCTGTCTCAAAAAAAAGGCAGACTTTTAATTTTCTTTGCTTTTCCCTCCTCTTCATTGGTGTAGGAGCTGGAAGAACTGTCTGTGACAGCTATAATGTAGCCTTCTTTCTTGTGAAGTTTGCTATGTGTCTGGTGGCACATACAGCCTTTGGTCCTGTCTGGCATCATAGCAAACTTGCTGGAAGAGATGATATGGCCACTCACTCAAATCTGTATCTGACCTGTGTTCTTTCCCCTATGTATAATATAAGGAGAGAAACCTCACAAGTGTGAGCTGTGTGACTTCACCTGCCGAGACGTGAGCTACCTATCCAAGCACATGCTGACCCACTCTAACACCAAGGATTACATGTGTACTGAATGTGGCTATGTCACCAAGTGGAAGCACTACCTAAGTGTGCACATGCGGAAACATGCAGGGGATCTCAGGTACGAGCACACGTTTCCATCTCTGACCCCATTGCTTTCTCTATTCTAACATCATTCTCTGCTCCTACTATCTTAGCTCCATCACCTACAGTTGAGCCCTGTGTCTGTGGCCCATTCTGCATGGTGAGAGCATTCTGGGCCAGGAGAAGGAAAGAGATCAAAATGTCACTTGAGAGACTGAGGAAATAGCTCAGTCAGTAAAATGCTTGCCTGCAATCATGAAGGTCTGATGAGTTCAATCCTTAGAGCCCACATTTAAAGTATTACTTGAGTTCTCAGAATTTGGTCTCAGGAAAATGGATCTACATTTAATGGCACCAAGTAGTCACTTTAAGATCCAGGAACAGCTGGGCAAGTTCGCTAACCTATAGGCATATCTGCCCAGGGGCTTGCCTTGGTCTGTAGCTTTTATGTCTTCACTGGGGAATAGAACAAAGTACAGAAACCTGCTCCATGGGGCTTTCAGTTACTTAGAAGTCAAGTGGGTACTGCCACCCTGGCACACCTGCCACACTTGGGGTAGGGGGTCACAACATGACACACACATGCAATATGAAATAGAGAGAGCCCCAGCCCTGAAGCTAAGTTGTCTCTGCCCATCACTTCCTTTGGGAATACCTTCAGGCAGACTCTTAACTTCAGTGCCTTGGACTCATCTATAAAGTGAAAATATCTACTTCACAGGATGGTAGAAGGCAGGTTAAATCACATGGTTCACGCGCAGCACAGAGCACAAACAGGCCTATGGTATTTAATCAGTAACTGTTAACTGTTATGATTTGTTGTGATTGACTCCTCTTTGTCTTTCTCCCCAGATACCAATGCAACCAGTGCTCTTACCGCTGCCATCGGGCTGATCAGCTGAGCAGCCATAAACTGCGGCACGAAGGCAAGTCCCTCATGTGTGAGGTGTGTGCCTTTGCGTGCAAGCGCAAGTATGAGCTCCAGAAGCACATGGCTTCCCAGCACCACCCTGGCACACCTGCCCCACTCTACCCCTGCCGCTACTGCAGCTATCAGAGCCGCCACAAGCAGGCCCTGCTGAGCCATGAGAACTGCAAGCACACCCATCTCCGTGAGTTTCATTGTGCCCTCTGTGATTACCGTACCTTCAGCAACACCACACTCTTCTTCCACAAGCGTAAGGTCCATGGCTACATACCAGGGGACCAGGTTTGGCAGTTGTGCAATGCCAACCAAGAGTCAGAGGGGGCCAGACAGTGCCTGGCACCTCCATCAGACTTAGGGTCTTCTAGCCAGCTGTCAGCCCAGCCTGAGAGACAAGACCATGAACATGGGATTGTGGCAGTCTCCAGTGTGGACCAGGCTCTGCCAGAGACAAGTGATGAGGTCAGCACCAAAAAACAGGATGGTATTGAGGCTCCTCAAGGGGATAACCTGGTTGGCAGCCCCAGCCCAGGGGAGGCAGAGGAGGGTGGCTGCACACTACACTTGGAGGCCCTGAGGGTAGAGCTAGAACCTGTGGCAGAGCCACCACCCCTTGAGGAGCTTGCTGAAACAGCACCTGTGGAGTTCAGGCCTCTAGATCCCTCAGGACCACTTGAAATGGAAAGACCAGATGGGCTGGAAGAGCCGGAACTGTCCAGCTTTGAAAGTGTTGGGGCTCCTGGCTTGATTGCTGAAGAAGAGCCCATTTTGGAGAAGCTAGTCTCTGAGCCCCCCAGAAATCCTCTAATCTCTGAGGAGACCCCTAGTACATTCAAGGCAACTCTGTCTGCTGAGACTGCACCTCTGCCTCAATTTCCTGAGTCAGAGTCACTTCTTAAGGCCCTGAGGAGACAGGACAAAGAACAAGCAGAAGCCCTGGTGCTGGAGGGCCGGGTCCAGATGGTGGTGATCCAGGGAGAAGGAAGAGCCTTCCGCTGCCCACACTGCCCTTTTATCACTCGCCGAGAGAAAGCCCTGACTTTGCACTCCAAATCGGGTTGCCATAGCCGCCGAGAACCACTGCTATGCCCCGAGTGTGGAGCTAGCTTTAAGCAACAACGTGGCCTCAGCACCCATATGATGAAAAAATGCCCTGTTCTTCTTAGAAAGAACAAGGCTTTGCCCAGCCCTGTTTCTCCCACGCTACATCCTCAGCTTCCAGGTAGCCAAGCCTCACAGGATGCTGAAAGCGAGAAACCCCCACCTTTACCATCAAAGGTAGAGCTTCTGCTTCCAAAAGATGTTCCTTCTGAGCTCCCTGGGGAGACAGAAGTAGAGGAACCTCATCCCACACCCTCTGACTTCCCAGCCTGTCTTACAGGAAAGTCCTTACCCACAGGGACCTCTGAGAAGTTCCACTTTGAGCAAGGCAAGTTCCACTGCAGTTCGTGCACATTCCTTTGTTCTCGGCTCTCCTCTATTACCTCTCATGTGACTGAAGGCTGCCGAGGGGAGCGCAGCCGAGGAAGAAAGCGCGGGCGCCCCCAGACCCATCCTGTTGTGGCTCCCCTAAACAATGGGGACTCAGCTGTCTTGAACAGTAAAAGTACAGAGTCCAGCCCTGGGGATAGGGACACTGCTGTGGTTCAGAAACAGAAGAATGCCCTCTTCTCCTGCCCCACGTGTCCTTTTAGCTGTCAGCAGGAACGGACCCTGAGGACTCACCAGACCCAGGGCTGCCCCCTTGAGTCTGGAGATCTGCGCTGTGGTCTCTGCCCATTCATTGCTCCTGCTGCTGCTGCTCTGAGGCTCCATCAGAAGCGGAGGCACCCCACTGCAGCCCCAGCCTCTGGCCCCCGGCCCCTTCTGCAGTGTGGGGACTGTGGCTTTACTTGTAAGCAAAGCCGGTGCCTCCAGCAGCACCAACGACTCAAACATGAGGGTGTGAAGCCACATCAGTGCCCTTTCTGTGATTTTTCTACTACTAGACGGTACCGGTTAGAGGCCCACCAGTCTCGACACACGGGTGTTGGCCGCATCCCTTGCAGCTCCTGCCCACAGACATTTGGCACCAACTCAAAACTGCGCTTGCACCGACTGCGAGTACATGACAAAACACCCACCCACTTCTGTCCACTCTGTGACTACAGCGGCTATCTTCGTCATGACATCACTCGCCATGTCAACAGCTGCCACCAAGGCACCCCATCCTTTTCCTGCGCTCAGTGTGAGGCCCAGTTTAGCTCAGAAACAGCGCTGAAGCAGCACGCTCTGCGCCGCCACCCGGAACCTGCACACCCATCCCCTGGCTGTCCTGTCGAGGCCACTGAGGGCCCCTTGCACTGTTCCCACTGTGGCCTGCTCTGCCCCAGTCCTGCCAGCCTACGAGGACACACCCGCAAACAGCACCCGAGGCTGGAGTGTGGGGCCTGCCAGGAGGCCTTCCCTAGCCGGCCAGCGCTGGATGAGCATCGGAGGCAACGCCATTTCAGTCACCGCTGCCAGCTCTGCAGCTTTGCTGCCCGGGAGCGAGTAGGCCTGGTGAAGCACTACCTGGACCAGCATGAGGAGACTTCAGCGGCCACCTCGGGTGGGGATGGGGGTGCTGGCCAGCCCTCTCTTTGTTGCCCTTTTTGTGACTTTTCCTGTCGCCATCAATTGGTACTGGATCACCATGTAAAGGGACATGGAGGCACCCGGCTCTACAAGTGTACTGACTGTGCCTACAGCACCAAAAATCGGCAGAAGATCACTTGGCACAGCCGTATTCACACTGGGGAAAAGCCTTACCGCTGTCACCTCTGCTCCTATGCCTGTGCTGACCCTTCTCGCCTCAAGGTAAGGTCAATGGAGGCTCTGGATTCTGTAACTTTTGTGTGTGTGTGTGCGCGTGTGTGTGTGTATGTGTATACAGGAACCTGGTGCCTGTAGAGCCAGAAGAGGTGTTGGATCCTCTAAACTAGAGTTAAGGACAGTTTTGAGGGCTGCTATGCGGGTGCTGGAAGCTAAACCCTGGTTCTCTGGAAGAACAACCAGTGCTCTTAATTGCTAAGTCATCTATCAAGTATCCTGGATTCTGTAACCTTAACAATTACACATATTCACTTGTGACTCTGAATAGGTCCCTTAACTTCTCAAAACTTAAGAGAATCCTCATCTGTAAAAGGGATAATACAGGGGCTGGAGAAATGACTCAGTGGTTAAGAGCACTGACTTCTTCCAGAGGTCCTGAGTTTGGTTCCCAGCAGTCACATGGTGGCTCACAACCATCTGTAATGAGATCTGACACCCTCTTCTTACCTGCAGGCATGAACACTGTATGCATAATAGATAAATAAATCTTTAAAAAAGAGGGGGAAATAATACAACTCTATGCACTTTCGTAAAGATAAATTCCATAACTTTGCAATGTGATAAGAGTATTTAATACTTTGAGAATAATCTGGGTAGTAACTGTTAACATTTATTGACCACTTATTTTTATGCCTAGTACTGCAATTTTAATCATTTGAAAATACAACATAGGTCACTGGCTAGGGAACTCAGTAATAATAATATTTAAAATATACATATTAAGTATTAATAGTCCCCCACATCACATGCATACACACAAAGAGACAGATACTTGTACTATTACTTGTGTTACAGATTATTAAACAGAATTAGGGGTTAGCTTACCCCACAACATAGCTAGTAAGAAACAACTGAGCCCTGTGGGAAGCTTCCTGTTATGGGGAGGAAACATTCGCATTTGCTCTTCCTTCCAGTACCACATGCGGATCCATAAGGAGGAGCGGAAGTACCTGTGCCCTGAGTGTGGGTACAAGTGCAAGTGGGTCAACCAACTCAAATACCACATGACCAAGCACACAGGTAAGTGTGTGTGTCGATTCACTGTCTTGCTTAAAGGGTTTCACCAGCCCAGTGAAATGTGTTAGACATCAAAGAATGGGTAAACCTAAAGGCCTGGGCAAGTGTATTTGCAAAAGCTTTCCTGGTGATTATGATACAAGTTCACATACACAGAGACCCTCCAACTCAGTTTGAGTGACTGCTGAGAGATACTTGGTTTCTGTGTGAATGTGGTAGAATGATTATAAGTGAGGAGAAAGATGAGAGCTCCCACCCCTGCTTTTTTTAAAATGTGCATTGTGGTCTACCTGCATGTCTGTCTGTCAGGATGCCAGACACTCTGGAACTGCAGTTATAGACGCTTGTGAGCTGCCATGTGGGTGCTGGGAATGGAACCCTGAATCTCTAGAAGAGCAGTCAGTGCTCTTAACTACTGAGCCATCTTTCCAGCCCTAAGTTCCTTATTTTTATTTTTTTTTATAAAAGATTTATTTATTAGGTATACAACATTCCTTCCATGTATGCTTGCATGCCAGAAGAGGGCACCAGATCTCATTATAGATGGCTGTGAGCCACCATGTGGTTGCTGGGAATTGAACTCGGGACCTCTGGAAGAGCAGTCGGTGCTCTTAACCTCTGAGCCATGTCTCCAGCCCAAGTTCCTTATTTTTAATTTGTCTTTCCTCTCTAGTGTATGGAATTCACAAACCATGGGTTCTCTGTAAAAGATTAATGATTGGGTACCTTTGATTGTGGCATATGCTTCCCCCATATACGGAGGAGTATCTTTATCTCTTCTTTTTTTTTTTTTTGGAACATTTTTTTCTTCGTTTTTTTTTTTGTTTTTGTTTTTATTTTTTTTTTAATATTTATTTATTTATTTATTTATTTATTATTTATACAATATTCTGTCTGTGTGTATGCCTACAGGCCAGAAGAGGGCACCAGACCTCATTACAGATGGTTGTGAGCCACCATGTGGTTGCCGGGAATTGAACTCAGGACCTTTGGAAGAGCAGGCAATGCTCTTAACCACTGAGCTATCTCTCCAGCCCTGTTTTGTTTTGTTTTGAGACAGGTGTTCTGTGTATGACCCTGGCTGTCCTCAAACTCACATAATCAGCTTGCCTCTGCCTCCTAAGTGCTAGGATTAAAATCATGTGCCACCACCATCCGGTTAGTTTCTCTTATATTTTTTTAGTTTGATAAGAAAGTATATTTAATGAGCCGGGCGGTGGTAGTGCACGCCTTTAATTCCAGCACTCAGGAGGCAAAAGCAGGTGGATCTCTGTGAGTTCAAGGGCAGCCTGGTCTACAAGAGCTAGTTCCAAGACAGGCACCAAAGCTATAGAGAAACCTTGTCTTGAAAAAACCAAAAAGAAGAAAAAGAAAAAAAAAGTGTATCTAGGGGACTGGAGAGATGGGTCAAGCACTATTAAGAGCACCGGCTGCTCTTCCAAAGAACCCGAGTTCAATATCCAGCACCCACATGACCTCTCACAACTGTCTGTCACTCCAGTTCCAGGGGATCTGACACCTCATACTAATGCACATAAAAGAAAGTTAAAACATTTTTTAAAAAAGTTTTAAATTTAAAAAAAAAGTGTCCCAGTGGAGTCTTTAAGTTCTATAGTGTCATATGACCAAGGAAGTTTGGAGTTTCCCATTTAATAACCCTGTCATAACTGAGTATTCTTTACTATAAGGAAGACTAGTTGACTAGAAGTTCAGTTAGTCATCAGCATCCACTGTGACCTGTGTATCTATAAGGACTCAGTGGAGAAGGGCACCAAAATGTCAGAAAAGAATGGTCATTAGCTGTGCTGTGTTCTTTATATCCAGGTGTCAATACTGACTTTATGAGCCACAGATCCTTGTTCTTCCCTCTTCATGGTTGTGTGTATTTGTCCTATAGGACTGAAGCCATACCAGTGTCCCGAGTGTGAGTACTGCACCAACCGGGCTGATGCGCTGCGTGTACACCGGGAGACACGGCACCGAGAGGCACGGGCTTTCATGTGTGAGCAGTGTGGCAAGGCATTCAAGACGCGCTTCCTGCTGCGCACCCACCTACGCAAGCACAGTGAGGCCAAACCCTACGTTTGCAATGTTTGCCACCGTGCTTTTCGCTGGGCTGCTGGCCTACGACATCATGCCCTTACCCATACCGACCGCCACCCATTCTTCTGCCGCCTCTGCAGCTACAAAGCCAAGCAAAAGTTCCAGGTGGTCAAGCATGTGCGCAGGCACCACCCTGACCAGGCCGACCCCAGCCAGGGTGTGGGCAAAGACCCCACTACTCCCACAGTGCACCTACATGATGTGAAGCTGGAAGACCCTAGTCCTCCTGCTCCTCCTGCTCCCCCGACTGGACCTGAAGGCTGAACCCCTCCCCCATCTCTGGCTTAGGAAGAACATCAAGTCCCAGATGTGCAAACTGGGACTGTAGTAACTTAAGTCTAGGGCCTGAGGGAGCTAGTGTGGCGGGAACACACTCCCACCCTTGGGACTCTGGCCTTTAAAATTAACAGCTATAAAAAAGATAGGCTAGGACTAAAACGTTGATTTCTTGAGTAGCACTATGGTTTTAGCTTGTGCCTGGATCTCCAGCGTCTACCATTGTTGCACCAGAGCCCCTGACTATAAGGGCTCTGTTTTATTCACGCCATCATCTCTTCCTTCTTACGGTTTCAAGTCCGATTTTCTTCCAGCATTTTCTGAACATTTGTACCTAATTGCATGTGTTCCTGTGTCTAGTGCTCTGTAAGCATGTGAAACAGAAGATTACCAGTTAACAGACATGTCTGGATCCCTGTTCTGTCTTCCTAGGTTGTCATCAGGGTTTGCCCTGTCTCCTTCCAGGCCTCTCCTGTGCCCTTCCTATGCAGCACATGGAGGAGAGCCCTTGGAAACCTTGTTTCTCCACATGCTCCTCCGCGCCCCCCGCCACACACACACACTTCCCCTTCTTGCCCGACAGTGACAGACCATACATCCACCTGATTACCCAAATGCTGCCCCCACCCCCACCCCATACATCCCCTTCTTGCCTAACAATGACAGACCATACAGGAGCCAGATTGGACAGAGGAGCTCTATTTAGACCAGCTAAGGAGCAGCAGTCCAGTGGGGACTCAGGGCTATGTATTGTTCTCATAGTTCTGGGGTCAGGCATCCTTCCCCAACCTTTGGGAGCCTTGATCCTTGATTGATCCTTTCGTTGGCTCTGGATTTTGAGAGACTTGTAGGTTGGAGGGGATAATGTTTCTGTAGATTTTTCTGCTTCGAGTCCCTCCTTGTGTTTCTAGTCAGAGATGATGGGAGAAATTAACAGAAGATCTGAGGATGGGACTAAGCCTAGGGTAAGAATAAGGAGGGAATTCCAGTACAGAGTGCACAACAGTAAAGGGCAGGAAAGACTAGATGAAAGATCAGGTCCTAGGTGGCTGGGGAGATGGCTCAATGGTTAAGAGCATTGACTGCTCTTTCAGAGGACCTAGGTTCAAATCCCAGCACCCAAATGGCAGCTTACAACTGTCCGTAACTCGGGACCAGACACCTATGGCAAAAACACCAATGCACACAAAAAGTCCTAGATTTGCTTAAGAAGGGCAAAGTATACTGGGGATAGTAGCTCATGTCTTTAATCTCAGCATTCTGGAGGCAGAGGTAAATGGATCTCTTGAGTTTGAGGCCAGCCTGGTCTACATAGTGAGTTATAGGACAGCCAGAGCTACATAGTGAGACCCTGTCTTAGGGGAAAGGGGGGGAAGGGGGCGAGGCGATTTTGTGCCTTGATGTTTGTCTACTCTTGCTGTGGAATACCCACCTCAGGATTCATCCTCCTCCTCCAAGTCTTCCCTCATGCATATATACACAAAGATGGAAGCTGGGTGGAGGCTAGTGCCATCCCTGGAGAGCAAGGATATGTGTCGGTAACCTGGAAATGGGCAGAAGGGCTGTGTTAGGAAAGGAGCCAGAGTTGGGATATTGGCCAGGAGTTCAAGGATTGCCTCACCTTGTTTCACGCAGGTCCAGGGCAGGGTGTATTGACCAATAAAGTTATTCCGGGATTTCCAGTTATAATCCTTTACCACAAAACGCAGTATAACAAGTTCAGGCACTTGGACCCGGAAACAGAATGTCTGCCCCCAGTATGGATTAAAACCTGAAGTGGAGATAGGAATTAGGCCATACTTAGTTGCTTTCCCAGAATTCTCATTTAATCTAGACTGCTAGTCGGTATTTTGCAACTGAGGACTCAGGTGTTAACACGCAGAAGCAGGGGCTAGACAAAATGACTCCGTAGTTAATAGCACTTGCTCCTTTTCCAGTGGACCTGAGTTCAGTTCCCAGAACCCACATTTGATGGATCACAGCTACCTATAACCCAGTACAGGGAATCTGATGCCCTTTTGGCCTCTGTGGACACACACAGGTGGCATGCACACACATAGGCATAATAAAAATCTTTTTAAAAGCATAAAGACTTTTCCTAATTCACAAGCCTGGAAGGGAGGACCAGGATTTCCTGGACTGCACCAAATGGAGGACAGGCTGGAGAGGAATTGGCAGTCTGGTCCCACACGTCCCATGCCCAGTCTCACCGTTGTTCTCCACATAGCTGGTTTCTTGCTGCCTTGTGTCTTCAGGAACACCAAAGAGCTCAACCTTCACCAGTGGATCCACCACGGACGTCTCTTTGGTGCTGTCCACTTTGGGGAGTCGTTGGCCACTGATGACCTGCAACCAGGGCACTGGAACTTCATGAGACCCTGCTCAGCCCAGCCTTCCCTCTCCCAGCCTCACCCTTGGGAAAACCGGACTGGCATTATAGCTTCATAGTTTGCAAAACTAACCCCTCAGAGATGGCATATTCTCTAATTTCCGACCTGAGATTTTAAGTGAGTCAAGAGGCTTGAAAGTAGGCACACCAATGACAATAGCCTCTTCTATAGCATGAGTGTGCACCAAGGGTTGTAACACTTTCAACAGGTAGTCCTCACAGCCCTGTGATGGAGGTGAGTTTACTTAGGTGACAGAGAACTTGCCTAATGTTGCACTACTAAAAGTGATTTAAAACTAGGCAGTTGACTCTGACGTCTGCAACTGAATCAGGCTAGCCTCCCTCATCTGAAAAAAAAATTATTTTATATGGCTATTTATTCATTTATTTGAGTCTGTCTCACTGTGTAGCTCAGGCCTGGGATTAAAGGTGTGTGCTATCACTCCTAGCAAAGAATTTTTAACCAATTACATGCCTGTTAACTTGAGCCAGCACAACTCCCCGTCATAGGCACACATACTCCTATTCCAGCTATTCCAGGTTCTTCCCAACAGTTTTTGTCATACCTGGACTAAGAGGACCTTGGCCTGATAAAGACTAATGGGCCTCTCAGGATCAAAGGAACTCTGGATATCACACAGGAATTCTGGCTTCAGCACGTAGCCAGAGCCACCATTCTGGCGGAAGAACCCATCACAGATATCCATGGCACTCCCTGCAGTCTGCATATTCATTGCCACTGAGAATCCCAAGAAAAAGAAAAAATCACCTTGGGGACTGGATGTGATGCTACAGGTAGACTCAGGAGGCAGAGGCAGGAGGACTCCCATAATACCATCCTAATTTACACAGCAAGGTCTAGGCCAGCCAGGGCTACATACCATTTCTCCCCTTCCCCACTCTCTCCTCTCTCCTTCCCTCCCCACCCCATACACAGGCATACACATATATTCTCCTTGGCCTTCTAGCCCCTCTTTCAGGGAAATAAGAGGACAGTCAGGATGCCTGCTGGAGCTGGTAACACTTGAAAGACTGAGGAAGGAGGACAAGGTTTGAAACCAGCTTAGGCTATAGAGCAGAGTATGATTCTCAGTCAGTGCCTGCTGGAAACACTCCAGTAGGTAGCACCATTTATCTCAACCTTTCTTACCCTAGCGCTCCTTTAAAACATCCCCCCCCCGCCCCATTTCCACTAGAGAATTTACTTCCCATCAGCTGATCCTCCGCTCCCTCCCAGTCCCTGCTATCTCCTCACCCATCTGGCAGCCTGCATTCCAGAGTTCCTGGGGGTGAAAGTTTGAGGAATCTGTCCTCAAAGCACTGGGATACACACGACATAACTGCCTGGCGTTGTGCTGTACAAACTCGTTGCCTGTAAAAAGGTACAGGGAAGGAGATGGAAGTTCTGTCTCTGAGGTAAGTCTTCCCCTTCCCTGACCCCAAGGACCCTTTCAGCTTACTTTGCTCTTGTTGAAATCTGAGGCTGGCTCTAGGAAGGTAACCACCTCCCCCAAATTTTCCCCTCCTGAGAGCTTTGTGTCCACTATTCACAAATCTTTTCCTTCATGAGTTAGGGATGTAACTTAGTCAAGTGCTTGCCTAACAGGCATAAAGCCCTGGATTTGTATCACAGCACCGCACAAACTGGAAATGATGGTATACAAGGTAATCCTAGAACTTGAGCAGTAGAGACAAGAGGATCAGAAGTTCAAGGTGATCCTCAATGAAAGAACAAGTTTGACGTCAGATTAGGTTATGGGAGACTATCTCTAAAACAAAACCTTTCTCATTGCCTGATCTGAACAGTTTCTTAACTCCTTTATCTCTCTGTTGCTTCCTTGTTCTGTTTCTTGGGACTAGCCTGCCAAACCTGAAGCTACCTGTCCCGCTTCTCTCCTGACCTGCCTCCTTGACAAGGTGCCTGGCCTTGCTCTCGGAGAAGGATGACATATCATAGATATGATAATTTTCTTTGGAATGAGTGAAGCTGCAGAAGGGGACAGTCCTTAAGTAGACAACCAGGGCAGACAGGTCTGGGCACAAGATGGTCGTGGAATCCTGGAAAAGAAAGTGGACAGGAAGATGGGATTGAGCCTGGCGTGATCTGGAGAGACGAAGCCGGTGGCCATCCAACCTAAGCCTCTGCCCAGTGCCTCCCACTGGATTCTCCCTCCTGCCTCACCTGATCGGACAAGAAATAGGACTCAGGAGTGGTACTAGGAGCCTGGGCCAAAACGTGACCACAGATAAGCAGACAAGACACCGGACACGCCACAACCTGGGGATGAGGATGGGAATAAAGGCAGTCTGCATATACTGCTCGGATCAGTTCAGCTCTGGCTTTGGAAAGTCTTCTCTGTGCTACTTGGGTAACCAGTCTTTATTATTTTTTAACAGAGAGGCATCAGTCACCCTACCTCTCTTAAAAATAAATGAACAATAACCTTTAGTCAAAATGTATGCATGATCCTTGCATGATGGTGCATGCCTTTAATCCCAGCACTCAAGAGACAGAGGCAGGTGGGTCTCTATGAGTTTGAGCCTAGCTTGGTCTAGATAATGAGTTTCAGGTCACTCAGGGATACACATCGAGACTGCCTCAAAAACAAAAATAGTACATAAATCCAGTCAGATCATATCAAAGTATGCAGGTGGTCCCAAAATCCACACCTGTAAGGTGAGGAGCCCAGAGCATTATCTTTGGATTTATCTCCTAATTCCCATTGTCATCCCTACACATGACAACAGGTTTAAACACCACGGCCTCAGCACAGGGTAAGTCAGAAGTCAGCTGAGTAAGCCATGCAATTGCACAAGAGAAAGAAATATGGACTTCACACCTGGGTCTCAGAGGTCCCACCAATGGGACCTTTCCTCACTTGGCCTCCCCATATCTGGATACTTCCAGCTCCTCCTCAAACTATCCTTTCCAAAACATGTTCTCTAACTTATCCCATTGTAGCTGAGCCTGAGGTCCCAGCTATCAATGGTCCAGTAACTTCTTATTCAGCCAAT